CTCTCATGAGTGGTGAGTGTGTCCATGGGCTGTGTGAGCCTATTTTCCTAGAGACCCTTGTCCTGGAAAACTTTACTCCTAAACGCAGGGCTAGTATTCACTGCACTGTAAGCGATGGCCATATGGAGGAATGTGTTAAAATGTGGACTCAATGTTTTAAAAGATAACTACAATATCTCTGCCCTACCCCCCATCCTGCCTTTCTCCTTAAACCAATTAACAAACTACAAATTAATGCTGCAACTTTGCAAAGATCAAGAGAACACACCCATGATCCTAAGGTTTACCTGAACGTGGCTCTCAGCTTTGGACGTCCCCTGTCCCTGCTGTTCAGCGCCGCCTTGAGACTGGGAGGTAATTCCATCGCTAAGAGCTTATGCTCGGCAGCTTCTGCCTTTTCCTTCTCGACGATTTCCTGCCTCAGCTTCCAGAAGCGCTTTCTCTCCTCCTCACTGGGCCAGTGTTCTGAAGAATCAGTGGACTTTCTGAGTTCACTCAGGTCTAGTTTCTCAACAGGTGGGAAAAAGTCTGCCTTTTCTTTTAACACAGCCTCCTCTGGATCCTGAGAGTTAATGATTTCTTCATTAGACACGCATTCTTTGGATAAAGCCAACACGGGACTTGGAAGCTCACTTAGGTTCTTCTTCGTAACTGGTGAAATCTCTAGTAGAACAAAACGCCATTTTAGTAGCCTATATGTCAACAGCATCCCTCGAGAACTAATTTATTTAAATAAGCCTGGTGCTGGCACCCTTTGCAGAGGCGGCCTGGGGGTGGGGGTGGGGTGGGGTCTGGCTTCCCAGCGGCCCCTCCCTGAGTCTCTGCGTCCCTCGTCATACGGTCTATTTATGAGAACACGTCTCCCGAACCGCACCACACCACACCAAGCTGCCGTGGATCATGTCAACGGTTCCATTTGGGGTAAGTGAGGGGCACCCAACCTTTTCACATAAGTTTTGCTACTTTGAAGGAATTTTCTGCACGTGTACATGGAGCAATCTTGCAAGACAGTCTCCATTTCTCCCCCCACACCCCAAAGGTCGTTTAGAATACTTCTAATCAATTTTAGTCCATCACACCTGCTTTCTTTGTTTCCTGTTTGGCAATGCTTCTCTTGGCTTTTAAACACTTTAAACACTTTTTATCTCTAGACCTAGGTAAACTATTTCAGAAAAATTGGCCCCAAACACACTCATCACTGCATTCGGTGCTGTGCTTGGTGTTGCACAGACAGTGCTGTCTGGCCGGCTTCCTGTCCAGTGGGGATGTGGACTGCAAGCACGTTGACAGACACACGCTGAGCTGAGACCACGCAGGGACCTGACCACTCTACATGCACGTCCCACCTTTGTTCTTAAATTTCAAAGAGCTTCAGCCATTACAAGTTACCTCTCGTAGACAGTGGGCTCACTCTCAGCCTCTCACCTCCGACTACGTGCTTAGCTACCTGCCGCCCTCTCGGAAGCCTGGCTACTGTGTTTAAGCAGACACAGCCTTCTTTGTGAGAAACTGCAGTGGGGTTGAAAGAAGTCAGGAAACGACATCGATCATCTAAATGTCGAGTGCACATCAATAAATTCTAAAAAATATTTTCAGTATTAGTGATTTGCAAATTTACTTTTTAAGCAGAAGCCTTTCTCTAACCACAAGATCACTCTAGGTGCCACGGGGGACTGCTGGGCCTGTCATTGCTGTGTATGCCTCAACACGCCCTGGAGCCCACCCTCCTCCTGCTAACCCCAGAGCTGCTGAGAGTGACCACGCACCGCCACACTGGACGGGTGCACAGGACAGTGCACACCTGACTGCCACATGCTTGGACTCCATGGTTTTAAAGAAAAAGAGTTTACAAAATGGGCAAAGACATGCTTTAAAAAGTACTACAAAGTTGTAAAACTCTCCTTAGGTACGAGTGACTAGGAACAAGCGTATCTGGCCGATCTGATCGTGGACCACTGACTTAGGGCAGATATAAAACTGTGAAATTCATGAAAACATTAACCAAACAGGTAGACTAAGATATCAACAAAAACAATTCCTAAAGTCAAAACGTTAAAATGTATATAATTGCTGAAAAGTCACTCCATGTGGCCCAAGACACTAATATGTGAAAAGGTGAGAAAATATTTTTGACCAATTATTTGATGTATTTTTAACTTTTTTACTTTGAAATGACTTCAAACTTACAGAAAAACTGCAGCAGCACAGAGCGCTTGGAAGGCCCTCCCCAGACTCGGTGGCTGCCGGCCCTGCCCACGAGCGGGCACCGTCCGTGTCTATGTGTGTACCCACATTTCCTACCACCTGAGAGGCCCTGCCCTCCACCCTTAGGTGGGGACACTCCCCACAGAGCCACACTGTGTCCACCAGAGCCGGACACATCGTGGTGACAGCTTCCATCGTCCCCTCTGCAGACCTTCCTCACACTTTGCCAGGGGTCCCAATACCGTCCTTTATTGTGATTTTTCCTGGCCCAGGATCCAATCCAGGGNGCAACACTGAGGGTTGCGATCTGTTGCCGGACACGGAAAAAGACAAAAAAAAAAAAAATATTTTCAGTATTAGTGATTTGCAAATTTACTTTTTAAGCAGAAGCCTTTCTCTAACCATGAGGTCACTCTAGGTGCCACAGGGGACCGCTGGGCCTGTCATTGCTGCGTATGCCTCAACACGCCCTGGAGCCCACCCTCCTCCTGCTAACCCCAGAGCTGCTGAGAGTGACCACGCACCGCCACACTGGACGGGTGCACAGGACAGTGCACACCTGACTGCCACATGCTTGGACTCCACGGTTTTAAAGAAAAAGAGTTTACAAAATGGGCAAAGACATGCTTTAAAAAGTAGGAGGAGGGAGGGAGGTGTCGGTGATGGGCCATAATAATCATATACATTGTATATTGACAAAATAAAAATTTAATGAAAAAAAAAATTAAAAAAAAATGAAAAAAAAAAAAAAAAGAATGTGGATACACATCCGGCCTTCTGACCTTGCAAAAAAAAAAAGTACTACAAAGTTGTAAAACTCTCCTTAGGTACGAGTGACTAGGAACAAGCGTATCTGGCCGATCTGATCGTGGACCACTGACTTAGAGCAGATATAAAACTGTGAAATTCATGAAAACGTTAACCAAACAGGTAGACTAAGATATCAACAAAAACAATTCCTAAAGTCAAAATGTTAAAATGTATATAATTGCTGAAAAGTCACTCCATGTGGCCCAAGACACTAATATGTGAAAAGGTGAGAAAATATTTTTGACCAATTATTTGATGTATTTTTAACTTTTTTACTTTGAAATGACTTCAAACTTACAGAAAAACTGCAGCAGCACAGAGCGCTTGGAAGGCCCTCCCCAGACTCGGTGGCTGCCGGCCCTGCCCACGAGCGGGCACCGTCCGTGTCTATGTGTGTACCCACATTTCCTACCACCTGAGAGGCCCTGCCCTCCACCCTTAGGTGGGGACACTCCCCACAGAGCCACACTGTGTCCACCAGAGCCGGACACATCGTGGTGACAGCTTCCATCGTCCCCTCTGCAGACCTTCCTCACACTTTGCCAGGGGTCCCAATACCGTCCTTTATTGTGATTTTTCCTGGCCCAGGATCCAATCCAGGGTTGGATAGCACATTCGGTTTCCTGTTCCTTTAGTCTCCTTCAGTCTGGATCAGACCTTCAGCTCCTCTCTTTTGTGCTGTTCTCTCTCTGGAAAGTTCTTCCATTGGGTCTGCCTGGCATTTCCTCAAGCTCACTGCGTTCCCTTCCACCGTCCTTGCAAAGTCCTGAGCTGCAGTCTCCAGGCCCTCGCTCCTGTCTTCCTGCAGCCATCCTGGGCTCCGCCACCCCTGCTCCCGCCAGGCGCCCAGTGCCTGCGTGCTGCCAGTGCAGTGGCTATTTTCCTTTTCCTGTCTTTAGCACAGATTCTGGGCAGCTTCAGACGCCCCTGCAGGGGCCTCCACCTCCTCACATACAAAGGCAGGCCTGAGGGCTAGAGGATTAAGTGCCCACTCCCAGGAGAAGCCCTCAACCGAGCAGTGGGGTGGAGTGGGGTGGGGAACACACATACTCCAGCCCCTAGCCCCCGAGAGCAGTGACTCTTGGCCTGCACCTGGCACCAGCACTTTGTAAATGTGCACGTGCACACAAATCCCCTGCACCTGAGCAGCTGAGAGTGAACCCGTGATGGGCCGGCATGGGCACCCCACCACCGTGCTCAGGTCACAGCAGGACAAGGCACTGGTCGCCCGCATGGGCCCCTGGCATGTGTCACCTTCCTGTCATCCTCCACGGGTGCTTCCAGGGGTTGCCTCCCAAATAAACTATTGGCCCTCGAATCCTTGTCTCAGGAGGTGCTTCTAGAGACCCAAACTAAGACACTTTACAAATACAATCGATATTTTGATACTACGCATCCTGGAGCCATTTGTAACGTTTCAAGGATAAAGATTAAGGAAGCACGTCACCTCCTGATCACTTACGGTCCTTTTCCATCCGGGATTCTGGATGTTACCTACTCTCAAGAAAATGCCACGATCCTTTGTCTTCCCTCCTCATTCTCTCTTTCTCTGCCATGTCAGGGCTCAGGTCTCCTTGGAACCCGTGAGCCTAAATCACCTCCCTTCAGGGTACGGAAGGACAAAGAATAAGTCACTGAGAACCTTCTCAACGGCATTCATGCAATGCTCATCTTAACAATTAAAATACACAAACCAAAACCAGAACCAGAAAAATTAAAGCCAGTAGTTTCAGTGCTTTTCTCTCCTCCTCTTTTGCTAAAATATGATAAAATATCCACTTCTCTGAAAAGCTTCACCTGATTTAAAACCCTGCAGGGAAGTTACAGCAACCACTGCTGGGGACTAACTTCTGATCTCAGTGACTGGATTTAACTCCAGAGACCAGGAGACAAGAAAAGCTTGTCTGTGGACATCTGTCCACACACAAATCAAGGGTGTGCAAACCCGCACGTCTCTGAAAAGCTTCACCTGATTTAAAACCCTGCAGGGAAGTTACAGCAACCACTGCTGGGGACTAACTTCTGACCTCAGTGACTGGATTTAACTCCAGAGACCAGGAGGCAAGAAAAGCTTGTCTGTGGACATCTGTCCACACACAAATCAAGGGTGTGCAAACCCGCACGGCTGCAGAGACGTGCACACGTGGAGACCCATTACAAACGCCATTGAATATACTTCTACCAAAACACCTGATGAAGCACTGCGGCAACTATTAATTCTTGTTCATTTAAAACCACTTTTAAACACGGGCCATCTGGATCAAAAGAGCGGGGTCACATGTCACCAACACAGAGCTTATCTGCGTATCTCAACTGTATCCCACTATGACTGTCTTGGCTGATTGCTCCAAATGCACACATTGTTTGAAGTATGGAAAGTACATCTTATATAGTAAAATTTTAGATAATCTAAAGTGAATATTTCAGAATACTTACTTTTTGGCTAGTGTTTATTTTATTAAGACTCTCCACTTTTTCTGTTTTACTTTATTTTTTCTGAGTGCACCTACAATGCTTATTCAAGATCAGGATGTATCACGAGCATTTGAAAACATCTGGCTGGTCAATATGTTGAAAGAATACAAGTGAGTTTCCACCAAAAGCTGAGTAGATAAAACATGGGTATGAAGCTATTCCTACGCTGTTTTTGCACCTGGCTGGGAATAAGAGATGTTTGTTGTGCTGCTGGCTAAGAGGGCACTGAGGAATTCCTGAAGCAGCTGCTTGCTGATGGCTGGAGGTGGTGGTGACTATTTCCCAATGAACTTTTACCAAAATCCACTGTCAACAGGCCTACAGTGAGCACTGAGGATGTCAATTCGTGAACACAGAACTATGGGAAGATGAAGCTGTGACCAACTGGCATGCAGACATGTGTGCTATGTGAGTTCTGCAGGGCACACAGGGTCTCATGACATTATTAAAGAGAAGGCAGGTTCTGCCCTGATTTTATAAAGCTCTAACTTCAGTTGTTATGTAGTTTGTCATAAATAACTGTCCTACAAACCTGGGGAAGTTGAATCCCTGGGGAAGGATTGCTCTACCGCACAGATCCGCAGGAAGGTCAGGATAGCCACCAATCCCTTCTCCACAATAGGCTGAGGAGGGAACTCCAGAGGGCAATGTCTTAAGTTCAGTGCTTTTAGTGTAGTTATATTCCCTGCAATGGAGAAGAAAAACTATGTACATGTTACACACTATTCTATGGAATGAAAACAAGAGACGACAGTAACTGTTTGCACATTTTAAAAAATGATTCAATTCAGTATTTGGGGTAAGATGATATGATAAGCATAGAGATGTGCTTTTTAAAAAATGAAACTCTGCAGGGGAGACAGATTCTGCAGATTAAGTCCAGGTGAGCAATAAAAAAATAAGTAAAATTACATAAACATAAGTAGCAACAATCTTCGGGTAAAACTCAGAATACAAAGTTGCTGTAATATATTTCCTAAAATGCCCATTTCCAACATAAAAACTACAAGGCATGCAAAGAAAAGAAAAACATGACCCATACTCAGCAAACAAGCTGCCGGCAGAAACTGTCTTTGAGTCGGCCCAGATGTTGATTTTAGCAAAGACTTCAAAGCAGCCATTATATATATGTTCAAGGAAATGCAGAAAACCATGTCTAAATAATTAGAGGAAAATATAATAAAATGACTCAGCAAATATGAAATGTCAATAAGAACAGAAATTATTAAACAGTACCAAACAGCAATTCTAGAGTTGAAAATTACAATAACTGAGATGAAAAATTCACTGGGACTCAAAGGCAGACATAAGATGAAAGAAAAATTAATAAACCTGAAGATGGAGCAACAGAAATTATTAAATGTAAAGATCAGAGAGAAAAAACATTAAACACCACCACCAGAAACACAGAGACCTGTGGAGCAGCATCACACATGCCAGTGGCATGTAAGGAGAGAAAGGAAGGAGCAGGAAGCATACGTGAGGAAGACGGAGTAGCTTGGTCAGGCCCCCTGCCTCATGGCTGGGTGTGATTCAGCACATCCGTTGTAAACAAGTTGCATGGGAGTAGAGTTAGCGCACATGTGCACCTACGTACCCTTTGGCTTGTTGACATTTTTCGTGTACTCTTCCGTACAGAAGGCAGCGGCTCTGAACCGCTGGTCGGCAGAGCTCGTGTCTAAAAATAAAGCATGTCCACTTTGCTGTTGGCTGCTCAGTTTTTCTTTCCACTACCTGGCTCAGGACCTGCACAAGACAGGGCAGAAGGGTCTGTGATCCAGCCCAACAGCATATCTGAGGAAAGCAGGGCCAAAAATGTCCCTAATTAGATGAAAAACATGAATCTATACATCTAAGAAGCTTAATGAATCCCAAGTGGGAAAAGCCAAAGAGATTCCCACTTAGACATATTATGGGCAAACTACTGAAAGACAAAGAAAAAGAAGTAATCTTGAAAGTGGCAAGGGAAAACAACTCAGCACACAAAAGGGAGTGGCAATAAGACTAACAGCTGACTTCCCATCAGACGCAATGGCGGCCGGGAGACCGTGGGACAACACACTCAAAATGTGGAAGGAGCAAAGAGCCCTGTTAACCGAGAGCTCCAAGTCCAGCAAAACCCCCCTTCAAAAGCACAGGTAAAAATGAAGGTGTTTCAAAACGGAAGCAGGTAGAAACAGTCTGAATTGACCTATAACAATTTTTAGAAATGAATTCCTAATTATCCCCCACCTCCCACACAATCTCAAGTCCAGCTGAAAACCACAGAACTAAATGCGTGGTTCGGCAGCAGACTGGACACAGCAGAAGACAGAATGGGTGAACCCAAAGGCAGATCAACAAAAACACAAACTGGAACACCGAGAGAAATGAGAGAGGGAAGCAGGGGACAAAACCAAACCCCAATGTCCGTGCAACTGGAGTCCAGCGGGGGGTGGGGGGAGAGAGGACAGGAGAAAAGCACATCTAAAGGAAGTGTCAATGAACAGAAATTTCCAGATCTGACTAAAGACACTGATGGATTCAAGAACCTCAACGAACCCTAAACAAGGTAAATTCAGACAGGACAGATAAAAGACACCCAATAAAAATTTACTAATTGAGCGGTGATGGAGAAATCAATATTTAATATTAAACTCCATCTTGCACCTTTTATTCCATGATGCTTCTTGTGTTTCACATTTATTTCTTCAGACTGTATCATGATTTAATGATTAATTATGATGTAACGATTCCACTTCTAGATATTAACCCAAGGGAAATGAAAACACATGTTCACAAAAAGACTTGTACATAACGTTCACAGCACTGTAATTCATAACAGATAAAACAAACAAACAAAAAGTAGAAATAGGCCAGATGTTCATCAAGAGGAGAACAGGTTACAGGAAAAAACTGCAGAAAAGCTACATGATGGACCAGCACTTGGTAATAAACAGGAGCAGGCTGCTGCTGCACGAGACTACACGAGTGAATCTCAAATACATTACCTTGAGTGACAGAGTCTTAAAATGAATATACACTGTACGTTCAGTTAGTATGAAGTTCTACAATAGGCAAAATTCATCTGCAGTAAAAAGAAATCAGAACAGTGGCTGTCTCTGGGAGTAGGGTGGGGGACTAACTAGGAAGGGGCAAAGGTAACTAGGGTGATGGTAACTTTCTATATTTTGATTGGAGGTTAGATTACACAGGTGTATGCACTTTTCGTAATTCATTTCTATAAGAAGATTTGTGCATTTCACTGTAACTAAGTCTGAAGCAAGCAGAAAGAAGAAAATAAGGATGAGAATAAAAATTAATGAAACAGCTAATAGAAAAACAAGAGAGAAAATCGATAAAGCCAAAAGTGGTTTCTTCAAAAAGAACACCAAAATTAACAAACTTTTACCTTAACTGTCCAAGAAAAATAGAGAAAACTCAAATTAGGAAAATCAGAAATGGAATAGGAAACATTAATGCCAACCTTACAAAAATAAGAACTGGAAAGGAACTGCTATGAACAACTGTATGACAATGGATTAGATAACAGATAAAATGCCCAAATGCCTAGAAAAAGCACAGCCACCAAAGTTGACTCAAGAAGACACAGAAAACTAAAACAGATCATCACAAGTGTAGGAAGTTGAATAATGGTCCCTCAGGATATCCAGGTACCAATCCTGCAACCTACGAATGTCACCTCGCGTGGGAAAAGGGACTTTACAGACGTGACTAAGTGAAGGATCCTGAGAAGGTGAGATTGTGCTGGACTGTCCAGGTGGGCCCCAGGTGTAACCACAGCCATCCTTAGAAGAGGGAGGGGAGGGAGACACTGCCACCAGGGAGGGCCACGTGAGGACTGAAGCAGATGCTGCTGCTGTGAGACTGGAGGAAGAGGTGGCAAGCCACGGCAGCCAGGGAACGCGCCCCCGAAGCTGCAAGAGGCAGAAAGCCTCCTCCCTTAGAGCATCCAGACAGAACGCGGCCCTGTGGACACCTTGATTCTGGCCCAGTGAAACTGGTTTCAGACCTCTCAGCTCCAGAACTATGAGAGAATAAACGTATGTTGGTGGCGATTCCTTACAGTAGCCGCAGGAAAGGAACACAGGCTGGGTCTGCACTCGGAAGACCCCAGTGCCAGGGAAATGCCGTTGACCAGACCGTCTTCTCACAGGGAGGACTCTTTCAGTTCTGTGTGCATGCAAACCACCTGCGGTTCTTACTGAAATTCTGATTTCTAGGTCCAGAGGTTCTAGCTCAAGAGGCCCAGGAATTCATTTTAAATGAAAAACCCAGGTGATCCTAATGTAGATTCTTTCTTTTTTCCTGCAATGGTTTTATTGAGATATATTTCACATACCATGTAATTCCCCCATTTAAAGTGTACAATTCAATGGTTTTCAGTATCTTCACAGAGGATAC